AGCATATACACACAGCACAGAAAACAATACAATCGCAATTGCAATGATGTTGATAGAATTCAATAAAAACGCGCGTAAATGTGTGTGTGTACATGTATACAGAAATTCTTGCACTTCGCGATAGCTGCCGCTGGCACGTCAATATACATATGTATATATATAACCACATGTTTTCTATAATAAGTTATGTGTTTCTAAACCGATCTTGATGAAATTTTCAATTGTAGATCTTATTGTGCTATAGTATACTTGTATATTCTGAAAAAGTCAATTGCATTAAAATTGTAGCTCACATTGGTGGTCAATACAAATTGGTTTATTTACTTGATTTATAGATATGTGGTAGCGCCGATAGCTATAAAATGAAAACTTGAAAACGGGGCAAGTTATCGATACTCGTACTGAGTGGGCACTAGGAGGACCTACGCTCCAAATTTTAAGACTCTAGCTCTTAAAGGTTCTGAAATCTTTGTGTTCATACAGACGGACGGACGGATGTACGGACAGAAGAACCGACGGACAACCAGACGGACGGACAGACAGATGTACAGACAAACGGATGTACGGATCGAAGGACGGATGTACGGACAGACTGACAAGACAGACGGACATGGCTAGATCGACTCGGCTATTGATTCTGATCAAGAATATATATACTTTATGGGGTCGGAGATGCTTCCTTCTTCCTGTTACATACATTTGCACAAATACATTATAACGGGTCCGCAATCTAAATTTTTTTTCAACTAGTGCTTATTTCGTGAATGGTAACACTTAGCTCAGGTCTGATTTGACAGATAATTAGACTCATCCTTCCGCTGAACAAATATGGTTGTGTATACGCTTGAACAACGCTGGGAAATATTGCGACATTACTTTGAAAATCATGGTAATGTTGCAGAATGTGTGCGAAAAAAATCATCTTTTCAGATGAAGCTCATTTTGATCGTGGCGGGTATGTAAGCAAGCAAAATTGTCGCATTTGAGGCACAGAAAACCCGCACGCATACATTAAAAAGCCGATTCACCCAAAACGAGTCACTGTTTGGTGCGGATTTTGGTCCAGAGGCATAATTGGGCCATTTTTCTTCAAAAATGAGCAAGGAGTGGCCGTTACAGTCAATGGCGATCGTTATCGGGCCATGTTGAACGAATTTTTGTTCACAAATATTGAAGAGGAGGATATTGGCAACATTTGGTTTCAACAGGACGGCGCTACGTGCCACACAGCCGAAGTTACACTCGATGTTTTGCGCCCTGTTTTTGAAGATCGCATTATCAGCCGCAGAGCTGATGTCGTTTGACCACCTCGGAGTTGCGATTTGACACCGTTGGACTATTATTTGTGGGGTGCCCTCAAAGATAAGTATTACGCCGACAAGCCAGAGACAATTGACGCTTTAAAGGACAATATTCGTGAAGCCATTGGTGAAATACAGCTGCACACAATCGATAATGTGCTTAAAAATTGGACCGATCGTGTAGGCTACTGCATGGCCAGCCTAGGCAGCCAAATTATTTTCCATTATTAACCGGAGGGATTGTATTTTAAAAAAAAAAAAATAATAGAGAAAATATTCAGTAGTTTTTTTTTTATAGCAATTTCAAAAAAAAAAAAGTTATTTGGCGGACCCGATACCTTTTTACCCTTTTTTAATGGGTTCAGGGTATACAAAAAATTACTTGGACTTTGCAGCATTCCTGTAAATCAGTCGTCTCCCCTTTTAAAAATGGATTCGTAAATAATCGGTCAATTACGGCCAACCTACGTGAATTGACTTGCCTTGGTAAATTATGCTTTCCTTTCTGAAGTACAAGCTGATGTCATTAACACTGACTGACGTGCACCATGATATTTTACTTCTTAAACTTAACTGTTTAGGTTTCCGTCCGTCTCTCTTGGGTTGGCCTTTTTCTTACTTAAAAGGTAGGACGCAAAGAGTCATGCTGAGGCTGACTACCTCAAAGCCGGTCACGTTATTTCTGGTGTTCCTCAAGCTAGTCATCTTGGACTTTTACTCTTTCCTCTTTTTATTAAGGATCTCCCTTGAAATACCACATGCCCGAGAACGTCTGTATGCGGATGATGTGAAACTTATTCTTTCATACATTGATCTCCCACATCACTCTCGTCTACAAGATGATCTGAACGCTATGCAACTTTGGTGTTCGGCCAATCAATTGCATCTAAATTGTTCAAAGTGTATGTTTATGATTTTCAATCGTACTATACCTTATCTTGTCAGTTATACAACCGACAATACAGCATTGCAACGTATATTAACAGTTATCCATGAATACTGCTCTTGCATCTGGAATCCGCAGTATTACAATAGCCAGGATCGTATTGTGTCAGTTCAGCAGCAATTTCTTCTTTTTGCCTTACGAGGTTTAAATTGGGATCCCAATCTTCGGTTGCCATCCTACTCCAGCAGGCTTTTCCTTGATCTTCCGTCGTTAACCAACCGTAGGACAATCTTCGGTGTTGTTTTAAGTTGATTGTTGGCGACATAGATTCTTCTTTTCTGCAATGGCGTCTTCAATTCTCTTCTCATCCAGACCTACCAGGAATTACCGCTCCTCATTCCTACCTACGTGCACAACAGATTACGCTATGCACATCTCGTTTCGTGTACTATGCAAAAATTACAAATTTCACATTTTCTCCACCGAACTTTCTCTCCCCCTGATAAAATCGTTGCTTTCAGGATACCTTCAGGAACTCACTGACCTTCCCAGCTATGAGTAGGGGCATAGCTTGCCTTGGACTGGCCATAAAATTTCCATCACCGGTTCGGTGATTTTCCATCCCTATCTCTTTATCCTAAATAACTTCTTTCTTTTCTCCTAGTGTATTTTCTTAAATAATATTGTAAATTAAAATTATTTTTAATTTTTACTAAGAACACTATTTCCTCTATTAACACCTTTCTTCTTAGCTTCAGGCTCTAATAACGCCAATGAAGTTTTCATAATTTTATGTATTAAATAATAAGGACACTCGTTTAAACAACCTATAGCCATTTGGTTCGTAGCAAGTAATAAGTATACCTTTCAATGAATTATCGAATCGAATCATCGAATTTATGTTTTCTCATTTTATTATGAACAATTACCGTTGTTTCTTAAATATTTAAAATTAGGCTTTCTGTGCCACATTTCAAATGGAGTTTTCCCATCCCGTAATGCTCTACTTCGAATTCTATTAATTAATATCTGTTTAATTCTATCTATTAAATATGTTGCTGGTAAAACAGCATCACTTCAAAAACATTTATTCAAATAAGCCCCACTAATCTATATTATGTCCTTCTCCGTTATGGATCTAATCATGTGTTCGGATACTCCATGTAATTGTAGTGTATGCGGGACTGGAAATGGTAGCGTATGCCTTTTCCTACACAATTATGTCGCATTTCAGACAACTATTCTCTTCCATTACCAACATAGAGGTACATTAGTTGACACGTATTGAATTAAGTTGAATTTTCATACCAACATCCTGCATCTTTGATATAGCACATTTTCCTGGGTAATATTTTCATTAAGATTGATGCATTGTTGGCAGAAGCATTAATGTAGTCTCCTTATTTTCCAGGGTTTCGAGTGTTATATAGGTTCTGAGGTTCCCGAATCCTGAGGTTCCCGAATCCAATATGAATGATATCACTAACCATACAACATAAAGAAAGCAAGAACAAATGTTGTTGACCATTCATTTTCTTTAGTTCTGGTCCGCCGTCGAATTCTTTTTTGTTCGGGTCCGAGAATCGCTCACTTGCTCAGAGAACAATACAAGAGCCGTATGCTTTGAGTGCTGTATGGTTAGTGATGAATTGATACTATCATCTTTTTAATTTACACAGTTCGTCAACATAATTGCAAAACATCCACTTGGTTGTGCAATTGCTACTTAGGCTTGTTTGTCTTTTTCTTTGTGTTGCAAACTCTTCATAAAGCTAAACAATCCTCCCTTTTTGTCCCAATGATGGTATTTTAAATTTTGATTTTACATGAAAGTCTTTATTATACCCTAAACAAATGTATGTAACAGGCAGAACGAAGCATCTCCGAACCCATAAAGTATATATATTCTTGATCAGCATCAAAAGAAGAGTCGATCCGAAGAGTCTGTCCGTCCGTCCGTCCGTATGTATGAACGCAAGGATCTCAGAACCTATAAGAGCTAGCGACTTGAAATTTTAGCTGTAGGTCCTCCTAGTCCCCGCTCAGATCGAGTTTGTTTCCGATATTCGATAACTTGCCCCGTTTCCAAGTAATCGATATCGAAATCCTGTTTTTGAGCAAATTGGGTAAATAATAAGAGCTAGAGTCACCAAACTTGATATGTTGCTTCTAGAATAGTATATATATATCAAGTATCTTTCATTTTATACCTATCGCCACCCCCCTGCTACCACCGAAAAGCTATAAATCATGTTAATAACCCATTTGTATTACCTACCAATTTAAGCCACAATTTATATGTAATTGACCTTTTGAGAATACACAAATATTCTATGGCACAATAAGATGTACTGTCATTTCTATAAGATCGGTTAAGAAACACAAAAGTTATGTGCGCACGTGTTAGCAGCAGCAAGCGCAAATTCCAAGAATTTCTGTGTACATGTACACACACATATTCATGTGCGTCTGCTTTGAATTCTACCAACAGCATTGCAATTGCGATTGGATTGTTTTCTGTGCTGCTATTTTAATTGCTTATTTTCTCATTTAAACTCAATTATCGGTGTGGCTGTTTGTAGCGAATTCGAACCCTACCGAGGAAACTATTTTTTTTGTCTGGTGTGGCTGTTGAATGAAGGCGGCATTGAGTAATGCGGTCAGTTTCGAGTTCGAACCCTGCCAAAAAAAAACATTTTTTTATTATTTAATTTATTTTTATTCTACTTAAGAAAACGAGCGACTAGAACCTCTTACTTGTTTTTCTTTTTGTCATTTGAATTAGTTTAATTTTTCTACGTTTTTCTTGACAGAACTATCGTTACAGGCGAATGCAAGAATCAAAAGTGCACGGGCACTAGGAGGACCTACGGTCAAAATCTCAAGTCTTTGTGATCGACGCGTTCACAGCCTATACATCCAAGGCTTAGGTTGTACTTTGCGATTGAATTACAAAAAAAAATGGTTCAACACATTTATATAAAACCTATCCGAGTATCAGGTAATTAAGAAAAAATTCAAAAATCAGTGTTGCAAAGTAACTACCGATTCCAATCTCTAAAAATTCAGAGACCGACAATAACGTAAGTTGTTGTTGAAATTCAAAATAGTTGATAAATGTAGTGTTTCTGTAGTAGCAGAAAACCATGGTTATTGTGAGAATCGTTTTGCATAACCAAATGCAGGTACGTTCGTAAATGTTGCAGGATTCATCGGTAAAACGCCAGGGTCCCAAAATGGGCTGCATCATAAACCAGTTAATAAAATAGAACTTACAATAATATCGAAATCTTTGTATAAACTGGCTCCAATATCCGGTGGGGGTCTTTACCTGATGTAATCGATTTATATTCGCTAATTTTTCTGTCGGTAAGCAGGAGACCCGAATCTTCTGAGCTCGTCGTATCCAGCTGTGTATAGGGAATGTATAGCTCAGATCGTGTCGCAGATCATCCACTTGTACGGAACGACAGTACCAGGATGGATACCTGCCGGACACATCATGACTAATTGTCAGTCTACAGGGTAATTGCACTTTCTCGTCGCTGAGACGTATCATGCACGAAGTGTTTAATTGCAGATGCGGATTTATTGGATTTTGATATATTACCACCTTGTAGCGTCCCAGTGTCGATGTAAACACCAGCTTAATATTGGCTGTAGTCGAACCTATTATATAGCCGCCCGTACGCAAGTGGACAATGATATTTTCCGTGCGGGGTGGCATCTCATCGCGCTTCAATTTGATGACACGTATTAAATTCTTTTTTGTATGACGCAAACGTAGCATGCCTAATATTAGCAGGGACACAGCGCTTAGAGCCAGTAAACAGCTAAATAGCACGCAGTTTAAACTTAAGGCCGGATGGTATGCATAACTGTGTATTTTTTTTATGGGAAATGGCTTGATCTCATACCTCTTGGCGGAAAACACCGACAAGTGCTCAACGTTACAAAGCGAGTAAGGAGGACCCTGTGCCAAGTTCTGCGGATAACATCCATGTTTCATCCAATTCGGATATTTGTTACTTATATCCCAAACACTGCATTCTTGTGCGCTGAGGCGAAACGTGTAGTGAGCGGGTGCAGTATCGAAGGAGTTAGCCTTATATACCGCTATATAAGCGATTCCCTCTTCTGTACATCGATTCTTTAAAATAATTGTCCTGCTGTGACAGTCTTTCGACACAATGCAGCTTTTATCGTGCAGATTAAGCAGGGTAGGCTCTACATTCATGCTAATTACAACCCGGAGACTTGCTGAGGTATTAACAAAATGCACCAGCATGTTTACCTGCCCATCCAACTTTAGTCTATAGATTATCATATTATTATGAATCACATCTGACTGCTCGTAAAGGAAAACGGTGTAGCCTTTGACATTACGGAGACCCAATTGATACAAGAGACTCGATTTACTTTTAAAATTATAAGGTGCATTACGGCCAAGAATATCGACAGCCAAAATGGCGGTAGTTGGAAGAAAACTTCCTGGTGCCCACCAAAATATATCGGACTGGAAGCACCACGCATGTATTAGCAGATCGTTCGTCCCAAGCATTTGCCGGTGAGTTTCGACTGTTGATAGAGGTATTTTTAGAATGCAGGATGTGCAGTTAGATATATATACGATAGGGGCATAGGAATTATGCATCTCCACTCTGTAACTGACGTTGTTCGAGACATAATCAAAGGGCTCCTCTGGTTGAATATATCGTGTGAATTCTTCGCCAATTGTATGCCATATTTTAAAGACCAAGCTTACAACCTCTAAGTAACATATAATGCGTGACGAAAGCATTTTATCGAAAGGGAGCCAATCGACGGAGTCTTCATTATACGGATCATCGAAATGCCGGAGAATCAAATTTTGTTTTGTAAGGTCCGTATTCTTAACCATACAATATGTAACAATATTGGTTATCAGCATGCCAATGTCGTGACAGATCGCTTCTGGCATGTCTAGTATTTCGGTATCTTTTCTGACAAAATTAAAAGTGAATATCACTCTTTCTAAAATATATGAAATGGCGTGAGCTTCATGGCAATTTACCAGTCCCACAAATGTAATGCATTTGTAAGCAATTTCAAGGGTATTTACCATTTCAAAGACCGAAAGAGTTCTATCCATAGTTATGGACTGAAAGTTTTCTAACACATCATTTATCTTTTCCGGAGTAGCTAATAATTTTTGCAGAAAACAGAATGCCTGCTGCCTTCGTCCATCCAGTAGCATCCTAGTCAGACTATGCTTGTCAAGAGTTTCAGATCCTGCCAGGTTCATAGGCTCAATCGTAAAAGAGATATTCATAAATGTGCAGGGCAAGTGAAAGCCGCATATGCGAACAATTAATGGAGTGTTGCTATTTAGGTAAAGGAAAGTTTCTCCCGAATTGGTGTTATCTTCATAGATGTTTCCCGTTCTATAGGTATATAGGAGCGGTTCCTGAATTATCGAAAAAAAATTTTGGCAACGAATATGAAACTTTGTAACACATTCCTGGCCATTTTGTGGCTCAATTACACAGTCCCCGCTTTTTAGAGGCTGTGACTGTTGCAATCTCAACTCGGTGGTACCCTTTCCGTCCTGGTCTGCGACAATGAGTGTAACAATCAGTTCACCTACCAAATCCGATGCCAGTTTCATCACTAGTCGCTGTTTGTTCTGCTTCATATCAATTCCGTTCAGTCTCCATGTATAGGTGATGGGCATCTTGCAAGTGGGACATAAAGCTTGCAGGTGCAGCACATGGTCGGTTGCGTACAGATACCTTTGGCAGTTTCTGATGCACTCTATATTTACACTGAGAGGGTCTCTATCGCCTAATACTACGATAGCTTGGTTAATATGACTAGTGCGGGCGGCCACTAGTTTGTTAGCGACTCTTAGTGTAATTATGTTTTTTCCCCCACTTTTGAGAATTTCGGTGGGTATATTTAGCTTAGAATCTGCAACGGCACCAACGTAAATATTCGGCAGCGCTTAAAATACATACTCACTGGAATTCTCGAAGGTTAGATATTGCTCATTACTTCCATCCGCTGCGCGTAAGATCCAAGTATACGTTAGTTGCTGAGAAGGGCGCATATTTTGTGCGGGCTCACGACTTTTAGAGCCATCAAGAAGCAACCATTTACTTTTATTATTTATTTCTCTGTAGTGACCGCCGGCTATATTAGCAATCACATTACGTGCTGTCACATTTATGTAACACTGGGGAGTTACAATAATTAGAATCTTCTCCTGGTACTTGTAGACATGACATACTCTTACGTATACCCATGGACCTTTGATCTCCTTAAGCCCAAGCTTCACCGAAAGTAAAAGATTAGGATACAAACTTAATAGAGTATCGTACCATAATGTATAGCGTGGTATCTTAAGCAACAGCTGCTCCCCGACACGTGTGGTAAAATAGGAAACTGTAATGAAAGTTTTCAAATTGCAGGTGGCGCAGAGGGCGTGTGGTTACAGTAACTGCTTTACTTACAATTTTCCTCAAAATTGAAAATAGTCCATTGAGTTCTCATGCGTTCTAGAGGGAAACAACGCTCTTCCACAATTGCTTGTATGTTAATAAAGCGCTCCACATCAACCTGTTGGGGTTTCTTTGGATCCATGCAGTGCTGAAAAACAACGCGGGGCATGCAGGGCGAATCTTTTGATTTTACTACGTGCACGATCAGCGACAAGGTTTGTACTTTGGGGCTCGCATGATTAATATTTCCAAAGTACTCAATAACCACATTTAGCTGATTTGCACCCAGTGTAAAATGCTTCGCCTGAAACACGTAATAACGAGCGTCGTTATACGGCAGATTAGCATGTCTTCTTATACCTAGCCCCTGAAGGGTTGCTGTGAGGTTGTTTGTATGCTGGCTGCTTAATGTTTTTGAACGTGGCAAATGTGCAATCATATATGTTGGTGTCGATATAGTTATTTGAAAGGGTTCAGGGCCAAGCTGTTCAAAGCTTAAAACAATATGTTCCTTTGCGCCATAGATTGCACGAACATTATAATTGCACATGGGTTTTGTGGGTGTCGCGTGCCCGCAATCGTCCCCGGTTCTCTGGCGCGAGCACTCACAGATCGTTTGACCAACATAGGGAACACAGATGTGTTTGCTGGTGCATATATTTTTTTCTGTCGTACACAGGTTCTTTACTTGCTCACAGTATTTACCCAGGAATGCCTCCTCATAGCAGCTACAACTCGGCTTACTTTTGACTATCCTACACTCTCCGGCAAAATTGCAGTACTCTGGGGAGCAACGATCTGTAAAGCTAGAAAGAGCAAATACATTACAAATTAGCAGGCTGCAAAATTCCAATTTGTAAAAATACATGATATTTGTTGGAATTCAAGTTTTTTATATATCTACGAATGTGAAATTAAAATTTCCTTTTAAAGTATTTTATTTTTTTGACACTTCTGTGCTAGAATCAAGACAGCTCTTTTTGAAATATTTTCAGCAAAGCTCATAAATGATGAGTATCGGAAAGTCTCATTTAAAAAGAAGCTTCTGTCATGTAGTACTTCAAACGTTTTTTCAAGATAGATGCAACGTTCATGTAGGTCTTTGAGTAGCTGCCTGTCGGTCTATTAAAATAATGCTGCTCGATTCAAATTTAAATAACTTTATCAGTATTTGAATGCTGGTGGTTGCTAGATAATGCAGCCGGACGCTGCAGCCAGCAGTTGAATCAGTTTATTGCATTACGTCTATGGCATTGCTGAAGGCAGCTCAGTTTTTGCCATTTTTTGCAATCATATTATTTCTGCTGCCTTTACAGAGTTCCACTGGATGGAGTGAGGCGGGAACTAAATTTTATTCAAATATTCATTGTTGTTGCCAGTTGCTTGTGTGGGCGTGTTTCAACAAATTGCTCTTGCAAAATATTTGCAAAGTATGAGGCAAATATAGAAACTGTCGGCTTGCAAACTTGACGGCTGCTCACTGCATTTTTGTTGAAAGCTTCACCAGGCAACACCGTCAACACAGACACACACAGGCACACAGGCACACACACACCCACATATAGAAAATAAAATTTTAGGCATTCTCTTAGGATGGATATCAGGTAAATTGATGGTATTGATAAGGGGCAGCAGTCAGTGAGCAGTCCTCTGAACGTGAACTTAAGGCATTGCTAGTCAAACATATTTTGTTACCTTTTAGGTTGTGTAATTCGTAATAGCGAGACTACAAAGCTATTAACAATAAATACATATTGAAAAAAACAAAATAAATATATATGGAGTCTCGAAAAACCGTTTAAAGGTTGTCATGAAATGTGTAAGAAGATTTAAATTGAATAATTGAATGGCCTTTGATGGTAAGGATCATATCGAGAAGAGGTTAATGCCACCCGTATTGCATACCTTGCTAGGGCAGAATGGAGGTTTTACTTTTTGCGTTAAAAATAATAAATCAAAGAAATAAGAGGCATTTTCGAGATGCGTTCGCATATAAATCTAACTTAATCCAAAAACGAAGAGGTTTGTATATGCATCGCTGTTAAAGTAAATTAAGCTTGATGACAATGTGACCCAACTTGAACTTTCGCTAAATATATATTTGGATATAGATATATGTAGGTGGTTTATTCTAAAATTATTTTATAAAACATGTATAAATGTCATATATATATAGCGTTGTATTCATACTGCATGTATGTTTATGTTTAAAAAATATATACTTTATCCCATTGAGTAATAAAGAGCCAGAGCTGAAGGCTCACTCCGAGCTTTTTTACCGTTTTAAAAATCCCGAGAGGTAGATCGGGTTGGTCCGCAAACGCAAAATCCAACTCAAAAATAAAGCTCATTTACTATAGGAAGCAACAACAAATCACTCGCAAAACAACAACAGTGCGCATGAAAACCCATTTGTTTTTTTCGTCGTCCGTCTTAATCAAAAGTTTCTGCGCGATGATGAGGACATAGGAAACTCAGTGCAAAGAAAAGGGACAAATAATGCCACTATGTTTGTTGCTGGTTTCTCTGTCGTACCAACAAGGCGGCGCGTAAAAACAACAACAACACTATTTGGGTTCTAATGTTGTTGTTGCATAGCCGAGTCTCGGCACAAGTAGGTAGAAAAATCGAATGCGAGCAGGCCATGCCATTTAAATCAAAGGGTTACGCACACGCCGCGTCAACATCATATACTATTACGTCACGTTTTAAAGAATTCCATTTCTTGTGATGCTTAGAATATATTTCTATCCCTATTACGTACATTAAAGTAATATATTAATAGGGTCTTTTATAAAAATGCATGTATTTAATAATGCATTACTTTATTGTACGCAACGGTCGCATACAAAAAGCCCTAGCTTGTGGCGTCACATGCGCAACAGCATGTTGCAATCTTCTTAAATTCATATACTTCCCTTGGCTTGGAAAACACATGCATGCATATTTTTTGCCTATGTGTGTGAGATGAGACACACATGCCAACAACTATTTGGCGCGTCGAGGCATTGATACCCTTATTTATAGAAATGGTATAGAATGTTTAAAGAAAACAAAGAAAACTCGCTTTCAACTTGCAAGCATTCAGGCAGATTTTTATAATATTTCATTTTTCGACCAGCAAAGCACCCTTTCTCTACATAGGGTATTTTGACTATTGATCAGTGCTGTAGCTAAATACCACACACCTTCTCATATACAATTTCTAATCCAATGTCTGATTAAAATATAATTTCGTATTAACTGTGTAACTATAAGTACAATCAATAATAATTATTTTCTTTAAACATAATACACTATTACTTTAAATAAGGGTATCAATGCCTCGACGCGCCTAATTGTTGTTGACATGTGTGTCTCATCTCACCACATATTGGTAAAAAATATGCATGTACATATGTATGTGTCTGCCAAGCCAAGGAAAGTATATGAATTTGAGAAGATTGCAATATTTTGTTTCGCACATGACGTCACAGCTTAAGGGTTTTTGTGTGCGATCGTTGCGTACAATAAAGTTAAGCATTATTAAATACATGCATTATTATTAAAGACCCTATTAATTTATTACTTAAATGAACGCAAGAAATGAAATTCTATAAGATGTGACGTCATAGTATATGATGTTGACGCGCCGTGTGCGTAATATTTGATTTGACTGCTATGGACTGCTGGCATTCAAATTTTCTACCTACTTGTGCCGAGACTCGGCTCTGCACCAACTACATTAGAACCCAAATAGTGTTGCTGTTGTTTCTACGCGCTGCCTTGCAGGAACGACAGAGAAACCAGCAACAAACACAGTGGCATTATTTGTCCCTTTTCTTTGAGGAAACGCAGTTCCTATGTGCTCATAATCTTGCTTCAGAATTTCAACTTGCAATTAGTGTTTGCAACCTCGCAATCTTGCGTCTCATTTGTTGAAAAAGGGCCTTTTGATCCAAAAGCGTCCTCTGTATATGTATTACTCAATGGGCCAGATGCATAGAGTAATAAACTGACTCCGAGCTTTTATTACCGTTTTAATTCTGAACAAGATGGATAAGGTTGGTCCGCAAACGCAAAATCAAACTCAGGAAATAAAGCTCATTTACCATAGGAAGCAACAACAAATCAGCTGCAAAACAACAACAGTGCCCATGAAACTCCATTTTTTTTTCATTTTCCGTTTTGATCGCTGAAATTCTGAAGCAAGATTATGAGGACATAGGAATATTTATAATTTAATAATTATAATTTATTAATAGAGTCCTTTATTATAATGCATGTATTTAATAATGTATTACTTTATTGTACGCAACGGTCGCACACAAAAAACCTTAAGCTGTGACGTCATGTGCGAAACAAAATATTGCAATCTTCTCAAATTCAGATACTTTCCTTGGCTTGGCAGACACATACATGCATATTTTTTAACAATATGTGTGAGATGAGACACACATGTCAACAGCAATTAGGCGCGTCGAGGCATTGATACCCTTATTTATAGATATGGTATAGAATTTTTCAAGAAAACAATTATTATTGATTGTACTAATAGTTGCGCACTAAATACGATATTATATATTTCTCAGAGATTAGATAAAAATGTGTATATGAGAAGGTTAGTGGTATTTGGTTACAGAACTTATGAATAGTTAAAATACCCTATTTGAGAAAGGGTGCCTTGCTGATCGAAAAATGAAAAATTATAAAATCTGCCGGGCTGCTTGCAAGTTGAAAGCGAGTGGAGAAGAAGAAGACATGACTTTGCGAATTAAAGGCATAGCAGTGCTTAGAAACCACAACAATGAGTTAGAAGAGTGTAGAAGCTTAGATCATAGGCTGTAGCTTCAAACCAAAAAGGGATAGCAGGGACAGAATTTGTGGTGTGCTTTTTTCATTGTCGAGTCGTTTGTTTTGATTATGGTTGTTGTTGGTTCATATGGGAAATGTTCTGAAGTTGTCTTTGATTTTTGGACAACGGCAGAAGTAGCTGTAGACAGCCGGGTGTCGTGTTTGCAATTTTTCATTGAGTAATACTCAATTGAGTTTGCAACCTTGCTATCGCTCGTGAACTGTTTCGAAAAAGAGCTTTTGATCCAAAAGCCTCCTCTGTCTCTTTATTACTCAATGGGGCCAGATGAAAGGTCAGGCTAGAAATTTTGCGTCGCATTCAAATGTATGGGCGTTACTCATCTTAGTGATTATATTGTCTTTGGACGGATAGACGGACATGGCTATATCCACTTGGCTGTTGATACTGATCAAAAATATATATGTATACTGTATGGGGTCAGAGATGTCCCCTTCTATGCGTTGAACATTTCGACACAGAAATATAAGACTCTCTGCAAGAGTATACATATATTGTATAAATGGACAGTTTTTAATTTATTTAAAAAAAGTTTAAAACTTAAGGAATCGTAAAATCGGTATCAAGGTATGATAGAGTAATAATAGAAAATGCAAAACACTGTTTCACATGTATCCAAAACGAGTAGATTTGGTAGATTAAAAAAACAATTAATTTTGATAACTTTTATTACAGATAACCAAATAATTCCAAAATACATCGACCAATCCATTTCTATGGGGGTTTGTAATCAATTCTCGTTGGTTATATTTTGGGTCCATAATTTTTTCTGGTCAATTGATATCAATATGGTCAACAAGCAGCTCGTAAATAAAAGTTGTATAGCCATGAGCTTCATTCAATTTTATGTATGCTCTTATTTAATATTTACAAATTACAAAATTCCTGTAATTGACATTAATTTATGCGTCGTTTCTCTGCTTTCAGAAATATGTTAGCGAGTTATCGACTGTGCGCGATTGTGCTACTGAGTGTGTCGAAAAAGGTAGGTTTTTTTTATTCATTATACCTGTGGCGACCTGGCATCACAGAATGTCATACATTTAAGTTGTTTGTCTTTGATAAATTTGGTTTTACTAATTTGGAATTTCACAATATGCACAACATTCTAGCAGTATTCTCTATCCACCAGCATCTACGCGTTTAAATATCCTCTTTTTTTTATACCCCGAACCCATTGAAAATGGGTAAAAAGGGTATAATGTTTTTGTGCATCTATGACCCCATAAAGTATATACATATATTCTTTATCATCAACAGCCGAGTCGATCTAGTCATGTCCGTCTGTCTGTCCGTCCGTCCATTTGTTCGTCTATCCGTCCGTATGTATGAACGCAAGGATCTCAGAACCTATGAGAGCTAGAGACTTATTAGTTGTAGGTCCTCCAAGTTCCAGCGCAGATCGAGTTTGTTTGGGATATTCGATGACTTGCCCCGTTTCCAAGCAATTGATAAAAATCGATATCGAAATCCTGTTTTTGATTAATTTTGGTAAATAATAAGAGCTAGAGTCACCAAACTTGACATGTAGCTTCTATTATGGTATATGTATATATATATCAAGTGTCTTTCATTTTATAGCTATCGCCACCTCCCCGCTGCCACCTGAAAGCAATAAATCATGTTAGTAAACCAACTTGTATTGCCTATCTAATTAGGCCACAATTTAAATGCAATTGTCATTTTGAAAATACACTAATATTATATAGTACAATAAGATCTACTACTGAAAATTTCATCAAGATTGGTTAAGAAACACGAAAGAAAATGTGTTTTGGCCTGCAAACACGTGCAGCAGCAAGCGCAAATTCCAAGAATTTCTGTATACATGTACACACACACATTCATGCGCGTCTTCTTTGAAATCTATCAACATCATTGCAATTGCGATTGTATTGTTTTCTGTGCTGCTACATTAAATTCGCTTTTTTCTCATTAACCGTTAATTATTGGTTTGGCTATTGAGTAGAGGCGGCGGAAAGTAGCGCGTTCGGCTACGAGTTCGAACCCTGCCTAGGAAACAATTTTTTTTTGCTTGTGTGGCTGTTGCGTAGAGGCGGCAGCAAGTAATGCTGTCAGTTGCGAGTCCAAACCCTGCCAAGGGAACTTTTTATACCCTTGCAGAGGGTATTATAATTTTGTCGTGAAATGTGTAACGCATAGAAGGAGACATCTCCGACCCCATGAAGTATATATATTCTTAATCAGTATCAATAGACGAGTCCATACAGCCATGTCCGTCTGTCTGTTCCTATACGAACTAGTCTCTCAGTTTTAAAGCAGAAGTCCCTCTTGCTGTTGAACGCATTTCATATGTCAAAACCAGCTGGATCGGACCACTATATCATATAGCTGCCATAGGAACGATCGGTCGAAAAGTAGGCTCTTGTATGAAAAACATTTTTGTTTATAAAGATATCTTGTTCAAACTCGGCATTTATTAGTTTAACTATGGTCTTCATATACATATATGAAAATATAGCTGCCATCGGAACGAACGGTCGAAAATTAAGTTGTTGTATGGAAAATTTGTTTGTTTTTCACGATATCTTGACCAAACTCGGCATTTATTTGTTTTACTGTGCTCCTCAAATATATGCGAAATCCTATTAAGATCGGACCACTATATCATTTAGCTGCCATAAGAACGATCGGTCGAAACTAAGTTGTTGTATGGAAATCTTTTTTGTTTTTCAAGACATTTTAACCATGCTCGGCATTAACTATTTTCCCTGATACGGGCAAAACTCTATGAGCATTATGAAAAGGTTGGGTCTGCAAGGGTATTAAATCTTCGGCGTGCCGAAGATAGCCCTTCCTTCACGTTTTTTTTGCTATTTATCTTTATTACTACTAAAGCAAACGAGCGCGTAGCGCGAGCTGCATTTGGTGTGTAAAAGAATAAGAGGGTTCAGGGTATCCCCTAGTCGGGAGCTGCCGACTAGAACCTCTTACTTGTTTTTGAGTTTGATTTTGCGTTTGCGGACCAACTCGATCGAAAGCGCGCGATTTTTAAAACGGTAAAAGAACTCGGGGTGAGTCTTCAGCTCTGTCTCTTTATTACTCAATGCCAAACAGCATATAGACTGGTGAACTTTGTAAAATGCTGGGGCCAAGCGTTTTATATGCGGCTGGTCCAAAATCGCCTTCGTTTTTGTTCGGGTAAGAGACACGCCCGCGTGCTCAGGCAACAAGAGAGTAAGAAATACATATGACTTGTGCCGTAGAACGGCATCGCTGTCTTTTTATCTCGCTCCCACCACAGGAAACTGATTTGGCTTACTCTCAATGTTCTTTCAATTTGTCTATGCATTGGTAAGGGTACCTAAGCGTTGGCATGTGTGCATTAAAAAGTTTTTGGACTTGCTATTCACGCATGAACACGTGACAACGAGTCTCACTTAGACCCTCGGTAAAAATATATCTCACACCATATTGTACAACTGCAGCATAAAAATAGATAGACGGTATCTTACAAGTACTCAGCGAGGATAGATCTGTCCACTTGCATATTTTGTATATGAATAGAAGCATTTATGTGTTTGTGTGCCTGTTGGTTGCCTGCCTGTCCCTTGCTAATTTGACAAGATTTGCTGTTTTTGTGATTTCTGAATATCGAGCTCTACACACAAATGTGTGTGAATGAACAGATCATGGGCGCAAAAGAAAATATCATCATTGGCACGCGTCTGACACGCGCCCTTCATTTTATGATTTTGGGTTGAGCCAAAAAGCAAGAATTTCGCATAGACGTTGCATTTTACTCGTCATATTATTCGTCCTTTAAAAAGGGAAGAAATGCACCCGAAATTTGAGAAAAATTGAATTTGTGCACATTGTTGCTTGTGCGGACACATATACATACACGCATAAATAACGAGAAGGAAGGGACACCCTTGCAGGCACAACTTTTTCATAATGCTCATAGTGTTTTGCCCGTATCTAAGAAACACAGGGAAAATAGTTAATGCCGAGTATGGTTAAAATGTCTTGAAAAACAAAAAAGTTTTCCATACAACAACTTAGTTTCGACCGATCGTTCCTATGGCAGCTACCTCAGGGAAATAAGTATATGTGCATAGACAATTTATTAAAAAAAAGTATGTTAAACAAAAGGAACTTTTCAAACTTTATTTTTATGTTGTTGTACTCATAAAAAGTAACAAAAAAAAAATTATCTAATTATAATATGTTCATACAAAACAAAAAAACAAATGAAGTAATATGGCTTCTTAGGAAATAAGTATACATATGTGCATAGTACACTTTCTCAATTTATTTTAAAGATAACTAATCCCCCTTTATTTTCTTATTTTTCTTTAATAGTTTATATGCTTGCCCTTTGCTTATAAGACCTTATTTAGTCTTGTAGTCTTGAGTTGATAGGTTTTTCAAGACTTGAAGGGTCTATTTGATCCCACTCCTTCAGTAAAGCTTCTTTTAGTTGCTTTATGGTATCAAACTGCCGACCACCCTTGTAAACTTTTTTGGAAAGTATGCGCCATAGGTCTTCTATTGGGTTTAGATCCGGGCTGATCGCTGGCCATTCCAAGAATGGTATTTATCTTTCCGATAGAAAGTCTCTAGTTTTGATCCAGTCCAGTCATCTCCGTACAAGTCACCCGCAAACTCAATCAGCTCATTCTCCAAGAGTTCTACATATATGTCCGCATTTGTTCTTGTCGGTATGAAGCAAATCGAAGACTTTCCAGCATATCCAAAAGCTGCCCAAATCATCAGTGAACCGCCACCATGATTCCGACATGATTCACAACATGCATTCATATGTGAATGCAAATTTGGAATAGGTCGTGCATGATCAGCGCTAGAAAACAAAATTTATTTCTTCACCAACCAAAGCCAAGGCAGTGAATAACAACACATACATATACATATACATATTTTGATATAGGTATGCATGCATAATTTACACATACAAACATAGGTGCTTGCACGCCATTGGCTGAACAAGAATTTCTCTCAAGCAACCACTGTCCAAAAAAAAAAGTGAAATAAATATATGTGTGATATTTTCTTAACATAGTTATTGCACAAGTTGCGCCTTGTAAAAAAATTATTTCATTCTTAATTTTTCCTGCAAAATTTATAGTTAGTATCAAGGGTAATGTATCATTTAAATAAAGCATGCATTTCATGGATAAATCAGAAGTACTTTGCGTCGATCATAAGTTTAAAACTTTTCGCTCAATGTACTTCGAAAACGAAGCGACGCAAAGCGCCAACGACCAGCTATGCTGAGGGCAGGCTGGCGACTAACTTCGTTGCTCGTGTCAGCACATCAGCAATCCGCGACTTCGGCATTCGTTCGTCTGGCTTTTGGAGAACGAATAGCCAGTCGGCAGGCATGTCGTGCGAAAACTCAAACGCCAGATAAAACGCCAGGCATGAAATTTTTCGTCGCATGCAAATGTATGGGCGTTACTCATCTTAGTGTTTATATTGTCTTTAGCTATATCAACTCGGCTTTTGATACTGATCAAGAATATATATGCTTTATGTGGTCGGAGATGTCTCCTGCTTTGCGTTATAAATTTCACGACACAATTATAATACCCCCTGCAAGGGGGGGGGCATAATGAGAGATCATTGAGAACACTGAGAGTAAGCTGAAGCAGTTTCATGTAGTTGGAGCGAAATATAAAACATCGATGCCGTTCTACTACACAAATCATATGTATTTCTTACTCTTTGGAACAAAAACGAGGTCGACTTTGGATCAGAAATAAAAAAAAATGCATGGCCAAATGCTTTTCTACTAATTGTATGTTGTATGGTTAGTGCTTCTATGCGTTTCTTCTCTGTTTACACGGCATACGAACATGTATATCTCACTTCTGAACTGTAAGATCTACATAGGTTGACTGAGTGATCTTAGCTTATACAAACATCTGTTAATGATTAGGGTAGATAAATGTCTTTAACATTACAAATAGTGGTTAATGCCAATAATTATATTTTATTTTA